ACCTAGCATATACTATGTGCTCAATCACGCTCTGTCCAATAAATAAAAGAATGAACAACACTTCATCATCGAAATGGGAATGAATCTGCCATGTCCATTAACACAGGAGAGGTTGGTTTGCCTCTTCCATGCCAGTGGGAATGGTCTAAGAGAGCAATGCCTGCCAGAGAAGGGCTTGAAAAGAGTGTGTGTGTGTGTGTGTGTGTGTGTGTGTGTGTGTGTGTGTGTACACGCACGCGTGCACAGGGGGAATTTCTGGTGGATCTTGTCCTCAGGAAAGAGCCAAAGGTTAAAAGATGAAAGTCATTAGTCAGGCATCATAACTGGAGGGGCTGAGCAAATGTGAGAATTAAAAAAAGAAAATAATAAGGGATGGTGAAGACAAGAAAATAAAGTAAAGCAAGCAGACGACTTGGGGTGGTTGAGTGCATAATTTACCAAGGGCTTTATGGGGTGGCCGGCCTTGTACAAACTCTTTGGGCTGAGGACAAAGTCTTAAGTTCCAGATAAAATATATCCCAAATAGTCCATGGGACATCTTACACAAATACTCTTATACTAAAAAAATGATCCGCCATTTATCTGAAATTCAATTTAACTGGGCATCATGTATATTTACTTGCCAAACTTGGCAACCCTGCCTAACGGAACAACCGGGAGAGAAATAAGGGTGGGCAGGTCTGGTGGAATGAGGGTTGGAAAGTTAAATCCCATGAGGCTTTACTTGGCAATTTCATTCAAAACATGATTATTAGGTGGTCAAGAAGTCTCTCCAAAGACAAGAGTAGATTTAGTAAGATAATAAGGTGACTCTCAAGTGATAGCAAATGTTGTTGGGTTTCTTTTTCCCCTCCTGAGATTTTCACACCTGTGCCTAGAGTCACCTGAACTTCCAAACATCCCACATGTGGCTTCTGTCCAGGAGCCAGTAACCTCTCACCAGATACTACCCTCCAGAGGCTCAGGGGAAGAAAACCTTTCCTCCGTCTCTACTGTGAGAAACAAGAGATTGAATGAATTTTCCACATGGTGAGTAGTGGGTGTACTTTAGGGGACATTTGGCTGCAAAACCTCTACTTAAAACATCTTAAACAGAAGTTTGTTTTTCTTACACAACAAGACATTAGAGATGGAAAGCTGGTTTAGTTGCTTAACAATGTCAAGACCACATGCCCAAAATGCTCTGTTTCTGCCTCATGTTTGCAAGATGACTGTGGCAGCCATCAACCACCACATTTCTGTTCAAGGCAAGAAGGTGAAGAATATAGAGCCCTTCAACTGCTTCTGATCCAATTCTTCTTTTCTTAGGGAAACAAATGGCTTCCCAAACTCTGCCCACCTCAGCAGGCTTTTGGTTATGTCTCATAAAAGATTTGAGTTTCTCTAAGATAAAACTAGGAATAAGAAAGTGGATAGCTCTTGGGTCATAAAACAGTTGAAAGGAGCCCTAACCTAGCCTTCCTTCTGGAAGGAACAGCTCCATGAATCACTGAAAAGAATCTAGGCTCTGGAATTCAACAAACCTTGATTCAAATGCAGGCTCTACCTTCTCACTACTCATCAGTCCTTGAGCAAGACACTTAACCTTTCCTAACACACATTTCCTCATTTGAAGAATGAGGGTTAAAATGGTGACCTCAAAGAGGAAGTGAACATGGGAGATAACATACATTAGACACCTCAGATAATATGTGACAGAAAGTACAAAATGAAGAGTGACCATAATTATTTGGAGACACCAGACACGTAAACATGGGTTTTTTTCCTATGTGGATAAAATATGTCTTCTATTAGGTACACATTTTCAAAAATTAAGTTCCAGATTTTGTACATTTTAACTCTACAATGTATTCGCAACCCAACAGAACCATTAACAAACAATTTAAAAAGTGGCTTTGGTTTTCTGGATTAATCACAGTCATTCATCTACATACTCATGTGATTAGCAGAAATCAAAAATTATTACAAAAAGACACTTCTGTACATGTACAGGTTTGAGGCACTGCTCCAATATTTGTAAGTCGTCGTTTCCTTCTTAAAATATGCAAAAAGAATTTTTAGTTCAAGGAATATTTAGTTCTTCCACGAAGTAAGAAATGCCATCTTGAAAGCTCCTTATTTTAAAACACATTTTATATTCAGGCTCCCACTGAAAGAAGACGCTAGGACTCAAGATAATCAAAATGGTTTCAAAGGCCAAACAATAGGACATTTGAACTCACTGTGATGGTCATCTGTGAAATGGTCCTTGAAACCTATTAAATTTACTCTATTTGACAACTGAAGCTCAATGAACTCTTCATACGGATGAAAGAGAATCATGTATATTATTGCAATGTTTGGATATTGAAAGTCTAAATGTGGGCTAGAGAAATTAGTATAAACTAGTTCACACACACAGATGTTTAAAATTTAGCAGGGGCTGGCTGAGTGGCGTTTTGGTTAGGAGTTGGCTTGAGACGCCAGCTCTGAGCAACAGGGCCCCAGTTCAGATCCCACATGAGGGCCAGTGATGCTGCACCCTCTACAGCTAAGATGGTGAACAACAGCTCAACCTGGAGCTGGGCTGCTGTGACTCGCTGGCGATGGCATAGGCTGCAGTGGGGCTGGCCAGCAGTGGGTGTGAGCTTTTGCGAGCTGCCGTGGGCCACTGTGAGTGGCCGTCCAATGGCCAGCAAGTGACTACCTCACCCAGGAAGAGCGCAATGATAATACCAACATGAGCCAGTGAAGCGACGTCCTCCACAACTAGACTGAAGAACAAAAGGACAGCAACTTGTCTGTTCCCCTTCCCTGATTCCCCAACCCTCTTGCCCTCCCCCAATTCCCCAATAAAATCTTTAAAAAAAATTTACCAGTAATGAACTCACATGCCCGAACTTGAGAAAATGAAGAAAGAAATGGCATTCTAATTCCTTATTATTTGCAAAAACGTTATCTATACAAGCCAATGTAATACCTACAAGGCAAATAGCAATGACTTGTCCAAGGAAATATTGAAACCCATTAGGATTGCATGTGTGTAATCTGATTCAACAAGTCAGTATGTTTTTCTCAAAAAACATAATATCGTTTCTGCATTGTGTGAGATGAAGGTTAGATTACATTTCTTGCCTGTGCAATAATTCCCACATCATAAATTCTGATGAAATTATATCAATAGAAAAAGCAAATGGATGTCTGACCTACCATGGTTTTCTAGTTCTCAAGGAGAGAGGCTGACATACAAGCAAATCCCCAGCTGCTTGGAGCGATGCTATTACAGCGTGCCTTTGCCTGGGAACTGTTATTAACTATCTTGACCAGGAGCGGCTGCTCGAGTTTGTGGTTTCTGCTCTGAATATTAAACTTAGGCATACAAGAGTCCTTATTGTGGGGAGCACTTGGAAATGGTAATACAAAATTGCTTTATATTTGCGGGATTTGATTGCTTTAGATGATACAGCCCTAGCTGGTGGGCCTCTCTTGCTGCTTGTATTTCCAGATGATAAATCATTCCTTTGACAGGGTATCTGCCACAACCAGGTCTCAGTTTCCGTGGTATCATTTTTTATATTACAACTGGCAACTGCTCTTCTGGGCTGTTCATATAAGTGACACATTTTGCATAACTTATGAGAATGGGGTCAAAATCAAAGCTCATAAAAGCCTCCTCAACTTTTCTTAGACATGTCAAGGCGTCTCAGGCTTTGAGTTTTGAGAGGCCTGGGTTATGGATAGAGGATGTTGGATTTTTTTGTGTGTGTGGTGTTGATAGGCACTGTGTTTACCAATACTGAAATTCAGTATCGCAAAAGTCAGCATGAAGCAAAATGACATCTACAATTAGCCACTCAGTTATTGATAGTCAACCTTCAAGAGCGAAATAATATCTCCTTAAAATTTATGTCAAGAGAAAAAGGCATTTAATGAACTCTCTCATGGAAAAGGTAGCTAGAAGTGAGTGCCTCATTTTCTTCCTCTGAAAATAAGGGTGTTGGGCATGATGGTCTGCAACCTCCCTTCCTGTCCTGACATTTTGGTGAGGCAACAAAATTCACAGGCAGGTTAAAGTACAGGGAACACAGATGATATTAATGAACCTGTACTTGATAGTTGCAAACAAGCTTAGGTTCAGATCTAAGATCTACGAGACTGAAGGCATCTTTCATTCCTGGAACCCACATACCAGCTCTACAGTAGAACCCATTCCTAAAGTTATACATTTTAACTCAGAGCATGGCCAGCTCCTGGTTGTGCCTGAGATGCCCTGGTTTTTCTCCATGTGAATTTAAGGAGCTATTGATGTGGAAGACGATATCCAACAATTATAATGAGATCCAGGTAATAGTGTGAGATGCCTTCCAAATCCTGCTCTTATGAATTTATGAATGAAGGAATCAATAGTTTAAAAGACTGTTTTGAAAGAACCTTGGCCCAGAAATAAGAAGTTCTTAACTCCCCCGCCCACTCCAGCCCCCAAGAGGCCTGGCTTACTTTGGGTGTCCTTGGTTGCTTTTATTAGAGCAATGCTTCTTTGACGTTCCATTACTCATAATACAAAGCAGGAACTGTGAGTGGCCCAAGGCTCAACATTAGCTGAGAGTGGTTTCCAAATTAACCAAGTTCAGCATTTCCTGAGCAATTAGGTGCCCTTCTCCATCCGCTCCCCACCGCCACCAAAGGAGGGATTTGTATATATTTTCTAATATAACCAAAATATAACTGTAGTGGAACCAGAGAAATCGGGTACAAAACTTCTGTTGGAAACTCACAGAGATGGTCTCTGAGCCAAGTTGGCTTATTGAAGTAACTTCCATCCTCATGAGCTGTGTTCCCTACATGGTCTGCACACTGCAGAGCTCTTTGGGAAATTGTGTCTTTCCAAAATGTGGAAGGTTGTTTTTTTTTTTTTCTTATTGAGAATTGTTGAATGCTGAAATTGACTCCCTTGGGAATTTTACTAAATGACTGGATCTCACAGCTGAAGAGACTTCACAGATAATTCCTTTGTTTTTCAGATGAGAAACGGAGACCCAGAAGAGTGGAATTCCTTGCCCAAGTTCACACAGGCAGCAGAAGAGTTGGGACTAGAACCCAGGGACTCCTGACTCATGTACGCAAACAGTGACTTTCAAGCTTCCTTGACCATGAACCACCCTATGCGATGCATTTTCCATTGTAATCCAGTTATACTTACATCCAAGCAACTGAAACAAAATTTCAAAAAATGATCCTTAATCTAATAATGTGTGATATGCCCTGATTCATTCCATTCTGTTCTATTTCACTTACTTTTTTTGAAACAATGGTCATGAACTACTTATGGTTATAACCTACAGAGTTTTAAAACCACTGTGCTGGATTATATGTGCTCAAAAATAGCTAATTAGGTTTCCCTTCATGAAGAATTTCTACAAATAAGCTGTTATTCTACTTTGTTGCCTGAGAGACAGAGTAGAATGGGCTTCCTGGTGCAAGCCCAGGATTTCTCAGACCTGCTACATTTGATAGAAAACAAAGTTGATTCCTCCAATCAGTTATCCGTTTCTGTTCAATGTTAGAGACTAGAAAAGCTTAAATGACTGGGAAAAGAAAACCCAAATAATACAAGATGCAGAAGCGATCAGAAGCAACAATTCTACTAAATGGTAGGCTGTTCAGACAATCGGAGTGCGCTCTTCTGCAGGGAGGCTCAGTCAGGCTTTCTGCTGAATTTTAGGGTTCTTTGCCTTGGAGTCAACGGCTTTCGTTAATAACTGGTCCACACAACTCAGTACGGTGTTTTGGCCTATTTGGTTGATGGTGGTAAACACCCACATTCATCAATCCATTTGCACTAGTTGGGGAAAGGTGGTTTTGTTATGAAGCGAAGCCAGGCTGCTAGCCTATCGAAGAATGAGGGGGAGAAATTGCCTCAGGGGGGTTTGCAGGGATTTGCTTGCGGGTTTTCCAATGATGCTCTCAGGTGATCAGTAAGTACCTCCAATCTTCTCTGCAACAAAGCGCATGAAATCCCAGTTTCAATATGTCCGTCGTTTAACATGTGGTAAGCCTTGTTTCCTCGCCAGGGTGAAGAACAGAGCCAACGAATTGGAGCTGTGGCAGAACACGGCGAGTGCCCCGGATGCCAGGAACAGGAAACATGGAAGCAGTTCTCAGAAGACAGACACTCAACACGGGCCAACTCCTGGCCGCTGATGATATGCACACTCCCCATCTGAAGTGGCTGCGAGCCAGGAGTGTGACCACAACAAGCAGGAACTCCCTTTTGTCCACTTCCTCCACGGGACAAGGCATGGACCTGCCTCTCATCAGCTCACCAAATGCTTGATGCCAACCCTGGGTTCATCCTTACAGGCTGGGGATGGAACAGCTTAGCTTCTTTTACTGGAAATCCTCATGCCTCCATCCTACAGTAATACAGAGTCAGCCAAACCTTGTTTTTCACTCGGAGCTGATTTCCTGGCAAAATTCCCATTGCAGGACTCCAGCACTGACAGAGGTTAATGGGTACCATTTAGCCACTCTCAGCAGTGTTGGTTTGATCTTCTTGGCTCTGGTACTCTTCCTCCTTCTGGCACAAGAAGATTCAGCTTTTGCCCTTTATCTTGTTATTCAAGAGCCTGAGTGCCCATGACAGCCGTGGGTGCACATGCGGCTCCCTCTGAGTCCTTGGCAGACCAGCAGGATTCAGACCAACGCAGGCAACGTGCACTGAGCTCTTCATTTTCCCCTCAACAGCCAGCTGGCCTGTTGCTGAAACCAAGACCAATCAGAAAAGACACACACACATATGTGGCTAGGACTGCCTTGTTTTCTCCTCTACCGAGAAAGACGAAGGAACAGATAGGGGCTGCAGGAAGCAGCGTCTCACTCTTATAAGGAAAGCTGATTAAGCTGCCCTGAATCCAAAGAACTCTTGACTTCCCTGAGTTCCTGAGTCCCCAGACTGTCTGCCTCAGCCCACATAGTTACGTATGAACATGGTCTTGGAAGAGAAACGCCAAGGTGAACCTGACGACCTCTTGGCACACAAGTGCACGTTGGTTGCACTTAGAAACGATGGGTCTCTTCCGGAACACCCACTGAGATCCACCGAAAAGCTCCTGACCCTCAGCTTGAGACCCCACAGCAGAGAAGTAGAAAGGAGAGGGGTATACAGAAGTTAGGGCCTACAGTCGACGTGGGCCTTGAAAATAGCGTCAAGTCCTATTACTCTTGAAGACGCCTGAAGTCACCTGCGAAATACAACACTGTATCCAGCCTCCACTGAGGGCAGTGGGGCTTACCAGTGTCTTTGGCATCGGCATGTCTCCCCCTGAACAGATCGCTTTGGTTGAGCGCCAGGTGAAGTGGTTGGCTTGCATTTAGGAACATAAAATGCACACCTCTTAACCCAAGACTCACGTTTACACAAGCAAGAAGCTCGAAGGTGGGACTGGGACCCCCTCAGGGTACTCCATCACGCTGGCAGATGCGCGTGAGTGGAGCGGCGCCCAGAACAGCCCAAGCAGGCAAACACGTGCTTGATTCCGTCTCCCTGGCAGCACCCTCCCGCCGCCCTCCTCTCTTCTCCCTTTCGTCTCTGAGCACAGAGCTGAATTTGCCCGTGTCTGGGAATGAATCTTCATTCCCAAATATAGCTGGAAAGGGAGCTCAGCTTCCAATGCAGAGAATTCCTGCCCCTTCCCCCGCCATGAAGATTCCGGAATTATCCAGAGTCATTCTTGCTTCTACCTACATGTAAGTTCTGAAAGTTCAAAAAAAGTGTGATTTGGAAATCAAAATTCTGCTCCTGAAGTGCATAGGGAGGAACTGGAAGCTAAGGGGGCTTCATGACGCGGCAGGGCACGGAGCCTCAGCTTAACAGCTCTGAAATGGGTGTAGTAACACCCGCCTCCATGGAAAGGGTGGAATCAGCTTAATGAATTGGCTTCCTCAGAGCAGAAAATGTGTCATCCTCTTCAAAACCTTAAGATGAAAGGTGTGAAATGGTGTCATTGTTTCATAGATTGCTACATCAAACATGGGACGCCTATAAAACTGCAACACGTAATTATCATAAAAATAGCACACTGTTAAAACTCCCAGAGGACTATGGCATATTGGGTGGAAGAGGAACGCACATACCTGGTCCTGGGCAAAGAACCCCACCTCCCTTCCACCTCCTAAGATCTGGCCACTACTACAGGTCCTCAAATTTCTGTAACAGCCTCCCAGACATTCTTCCCTGATTCTGCCTGCACTCTGTGATGCTGCGATTTATATGAAGAAAATTTGTTCTTTGTCCCCACTTTGGGCACAGAGCACCTAACACCCTTGGAATTTCCTAAGCAATGAGAGCAGCAAAGGGGTCTTTTGCTATGCTAATGCGTGATCAAGGAAACCAACCCTGTGATTAGAGAGTTGGAACTTTGAGTCCCACCCCCTTGACCTCCAAGAGGGGAGAGGGGCTTCAGGTTGAATCAGTCACCAATAGCCATTGATTTAATCAATCATGCCAATATAATGAAGCGCCATAAACAAACCAAAAGGGCAGGGTTTGGAGGGCTTCTGAGTTGGTGGCACATGGAGGCTGGTAGGGTGGCGAGAGCATGGGAGCTCCGTGCCCCTTCCCCATACCTCTCCTATGCCTCTCTCTCATCTGGTTGTTCCTGAGTTATATCCGTTTATAATAAATCGATAATCTAATAAGTAAAATGTTTCTCTGGGTTCTGTGAGCTGCTCTAGCAAATTAATCAAACCCAAGGAGGGCAGTGTTGGAACCTTTGATCTATAGCCAATGGGTCAGAAGTGAGGAAGCGGGTGGGTAGAGGAGCAGTCTTTAGGACTGAACCCTTCACCTGTGGAATCTGATCCTATCCCCGAGTCGATAGGGTCAAAATTGAGTGGAGTTGTAGGCCACTCAACTGATGGTGGAGAATGGCTTGGAGGTGTGGGAACTCCCCCTTATACACTTTCCCCCTCTACACACACACACACACACACACACACACACACACATTGGAGTTGGGGTCAGAACCCTACGCTCCTTCAGTCTGTTCTCCACACAACAGCCAGAGTGACCATGGCCCACCTCCGCTCCACCTTTCCCATCACATCCCACCTTACTTGCATTAAAATCTCAGGTCCCTGCAGTGGTCGTCAGCTGAGCCTCACCTGACCTAACCTGTCCTAGTCCATCCTCTAGGTGATCTCACTGTGACCCTCAAGTATCAGCAGGCTCCTGCCTCTGCCCTTTGGGCTTCCTGTCCCTCTTCCCTAACGCTTCCCCAGATATCTGCATGGCTTGCTCTTTCTCCTCTGGGTCCTGCTCAAGTGCTGTTTTCTCAGTGACCCTTTCCTTCCTGACCACTTTGTTTAAAATTGCAACACTCCCCTCACACACAATCCCTCTGCCCCTTTCCTGGTTTATCGTTCTCCACAATTCTTATACATCTAACCTACTATTTTTTTGTTGGTTCGTTTATTTTCTCCAAGGGACAATGCCACCTCTACCAAGGCCAGGATTTTGTTCTGTTCTGCTCACTGCCACCTCCCTAGTGCTTAAGTCAGGACCTGACACATGGGGGTGTTCAATAAATGCTTGTTGGAAGAATAAATTAATAACAAGTTCTTCCTAATATAAGGACTTCTTGCACTTTCCACAAGATTATCCTGATCAGATTCTCTCATCACATCTGCAGATGTCCTTCTGCCTATTTTTAGGTGTTCCCATCTGCCTTCAAGAGAGGCATCTGGTACAGGTACTTCTGGGGGGAGCCAAAAAGAAATGCCACTGATAAAACTCTTACTTTGTTTCCCAAAGGTGGGAACTCTGCCTTCTACTCTTTTATAGCCCGTTTCATTGTATTCTATCTGATACAGCCTTGGGTGCTAACAAGGAGCTTCTCTGGTGTATAAATAAGTGAGTGGGTGCATGGTTAGACCCTGGCTTCCCACCATTTTGTGCTGAGATCCAACAGAACCCCTTTGTGAAGATGGCATTAGGGTAGACCAACACCCATGTGTGTGTCTTATTAAAGGCGCTTGGGTTGCAAGTAGCAGAAATCCATTCCAGCTGGCTCATGCAACAAAGTGGGTTTTATTGGAAGGACACAGGGTTTGCTCAAAGAACCTCAGAAAAGGAGGGACTCATGAGTGACTGAAATCATGAACTGGAAAGCTGGCATCAACCATGTTTACTCTCTCGTTCCAATCCCATGGTCATTCTTCACAGCTGGCCTTTTTGTACCTATTTCATGCCCTTCTCTGTGTCTTCAGCTAGCATTTAGTGTTTTCTATCTCTTCGTACATGTGGGTTAGACACTGCTGCTCCAGCTGAGTTGATGGTCCTTTCAGGTCAACTGTTATCCAAGCCCCACCAGGAGCCCAGAGACCCTATTCCTAAGGCCAGGGATAGAAAATCTGATCAGCTGCCTTGGGACAGAAATCCAGTCTGCTACAATTTTCACTGGTGATGGAGGAGAAATCTTTCACAAGTCTGCAATTGCTTATCTGAAATTTGTGGCTCCGAATGTGTTTCAGATTTTACAGCTTTTCATATTTTAAAATGGTAATGTGGCTCATACACTGTATATTACCTAACATCATCGCTGAGTCTGGGGCCACATTCTAAAATGAAAGACATGAGCACTTCTGTAGGAAAATGTATGAATATTCATAATAAATGGAACAAATCAATATTACAAACAGCTCCAGGTCAGGCTTGGTCAGCTTTTGCTATCAAATGAATTCAGATCAGGTTTGAGTTTGCCCCAAATGAGTTAGAAATCTTTCAATTTGTAGTCCTTGGGGTTTCTGGTCGAGGATAAGTAGAATAACCATGTAATTTATTGTCAAAGCTTCACTTCTGAGAGTAAAGAGGATGCTATCAAGAATTGCATTGGGAGGGAATGCTGAGATGTGCAGTGTCCTTTTTTAATCTCTCCAACCCTCCCATAATTACAGTCAGAGCAACTAGAACAGCAAAATCAAAACCCTGGAACAACATCTACCAAAAAAACTAAGTCACAGTTATCCCCATAAACTCCAAAAGGCAATTAAATGTTTAAGAGCTACAAGATCTGTATAGCATCTGTGCAGGGGAAAGCAAAAAAAAAAAAAAAAAAAAGCTATGGGGCATCGAATGGACTTGAGAACAGTAGAACCCGCAAATCCCCAAAAGGTACAATAGGAAATATGGCAGGTCAGTTTGAAAACAGCAATTGAAACTGAGAGGGATTTTTGCACAATCCAATTCTCAGGGGAGTGCAAAGGTTTATAAAAATGTCTGAAGGGGCTGCAGTAGCCTGGGCCCTATGAACTCTCAAAGAAACAAATCAAAATTTCCCTCCAGCATAAAGCTCCTCCCTTGGAGTAGAATCCAGAGAGAGACAAAGACAGCAAAGAAAAAAAATAAGATCCAGATAAAACTGTGAGTAGGCAACATAGGGGAAGGTTTTCTGAAATATGAAGCCATATACTTTTTTTATCACTGTGGAAAAAACAAAAGAGAGAGCTCTAGAAACTTGAAGCTAGAAAAACATATTCTAACTTTCCTCCCCATCCCCACCGAAAAGTAAAAGAAAACTCATTTTACATGATAATAATCAATAATCTATGATTGCAGTTGAATCCTATACAAAGTTGTTATTTTTAAAAAATAGAATAAGGAAAAAAATGAGTAGCATATCAGAAAGACATGCCCACAAACTATATAAGAAACACACCAATATTTCAAAATGAGCTGAAAGAAATAAAGAAGATGACATAAGATTGCTGAAAATATGAAAGAAAATCATAAGTCAGAACTATAAAAATTCAGACATGAGGTTATAGAACTCAGGAAAAATTTAGAGATAAAATAACAAGTCATTTCATAAATGAAAACCACATTATAAGAAATAAATGCGCAAACACAACATATAATGCCTTATGAGCTGTAACAGCAAACTTTTTTAAATTAGAAAAAAATAAAGAGATAAAAAGGATTCAAAAGGAAATAAAAGATCTAGGAGTTAGGAAGAAGAAAAAAAAAAGCAACATATGTATCATAGAAGGTCCCTTTCCCCATCAAAGAAGGAATCTGAAGGGGTGAAGCAACAAATACTGAAAACTAGAATTCAAGAAAAGTTTGCTTAAATAAAAAAGTCACTTGAAACTGCATATTGAAAAGACATACCATGGACCTGAAGAAAAGAAAGAAAAAAAAAAAACCAGAAAAACCAACATTGAAATGTAGTCTTGAAAAATGACTAGACTTTAAAAAACAAAAAAGAAAAAGAAAATCCTTTGGGCATCCAAAAAAGGCCAAGTCACTTGGAAAGAAACTGAGATGACCATCAGACAGCTCAATAGCAATGCTTTACGCCAGAAGAAAATGGAGTGACGTCTTTAACACAGTGAAGAAAATATGATTTTATACTTTTTATCCACTCAAATGATATTAAAGTATAAATACTACAGACAGACTGTTTTGAACTTGAAAGAACCCAAAATAGCATGAGCTCCTCCTCAGGAATCTATTAGAATAACAGGCTTCATACGATCAAAATGGCGGGTGAGGCACTGACATGAGGACTGATGATTCGGTGTTCTTGGCACAAGAAAATGGTGATACAAATGGAAGACAAAAGTTTGCAGTAAAAACCTGTCATCCTGAACCTAAATTGGTAGTATCAGTATCAACTCATGACATGCTTTATCTTTACATTTTTCCTAGCTATATCCACTGGAAAGACCTAGAACCCATGACCAAACAATAGGAATGAACACCCCAAGTGCCAACTTACGGTCTCTAAATATGACATCCTGCTAAAAGAAAACAGGGCTTCTTGGAGCAATAGCTGATCCCAGGACTAGAGCAGGAACTGTACAAGATGAGCCTGGAACCTCGTATTATATTAGAAGCAATGAAGTTTCCAAAGGATATTGGGATCTTGTCAACACAACTCAAGAGCCAAGGTGAAGAAGCTCTCACTGGCTAGCCATGGGACAAGGGAAGCATCAATAACGATGATAACTGTCATGAATTGTAGCACATAAAATATACTTAAACCCGTGAATTAATAATGATGTAAAAATAATTGAAAGCAAAAGGAGATAGAGAGGGATCCTATATATGGAAGGAGACTTAATAGAAATATGAAAATATTGCAATGCATGTCCTTATTGGAATCCTAGTTCCGACAAACTGAATAAAACAACACATTTATAAATTTATAAGAAAAGTGGAAATTGTAACACTAACTTGATATTTGATTATATTGGGAAATGATAGTTCATTATGATAGGTGTGATAATGGTATTGTGGTTATGCCTGTTTGTTCTTTTTTTTTTAAGTTCTTCTCTTTTATAATTATGGTGACTGGGATGTGTTTTAAAACAGTACAGAGAGGAAATGAGGGTACACGGAGCTTTATTCTTCTATTTTGTGTATTTTTAGTATATGTTGGAAATTTTCCATAAGAAAAGTTTAATTTTATATCAGGATAATAGACATCACTTAGGACTGTCCTGGGCAAAACTAGGCTGCAGTTCACTCTATGGATAAGGGATTATAGATACATGGCCCTAACATGGTTACAGGGGCCCAGAGATGTAGCTGTCAGGTCCGACAAACACCTGAAAACATGTTCAATAATGATTATATTCTGATCAG